ATATATATTTCAATCCACTGTTTTGCAGTAGCCACACGCTGGAGACACGACTTCAATTTTCGTGCGGGCAATTTTTTTTTTAGCGAGCATCTCAGTCTTTCTGCTGAGACGTTGTAATGTGTCCCTCTCAGCCCGGGTAGGCCTTGGCATAATCAGGATTGAAGAAGCTCGTTGATTACTCTTACATGATCTAAGTAGTGTTGAGTGAGGCGTTAAAATTCTGCAAAATTACAATTTTACAATCCAATGTTTTCCTCAACTTCTTCTTTACCCATCTCCTCTAGGGTGACTCTGGCGGTCCTGTGGTGTGCAAGGAGGCAGATGGACGGTACTACCAATACGGCATCGTCTCTGGTGGCCGGGAGAACAAGTGCGCCAAAGTTATCGGCATCTACACTAGAGTCAGTGCCTTCCTCACCTGGATTAACAAGCATCGCAACTAGTTAACTAGTTAGTGTGAACAGTTATAATTATTAAATTTATTGCTCCTTTCCTTTTTGCTTGCATGTTTATTTAAAACAGAACAACAACAAAATTTGAAACGCCAGAACCAAATGAACTAACTGTTCTCAACCACGTTCCATGACATGTAGAGTAGTTTACGCACCTGTCTGTAAAAAAAAAAAAAAGATAAAAAATACAACCCCACTTCAGCAGCTCTCAATGTTCTCTTCTTACTTATGATTTGTCTTTAAGAAATAAACAACTGCAAACACAAAGTCTCCGAGTTATTCAGTGCTTGAAAAAGGAATGAAGCAGAAGCATGTATATAGTCCAGTGCTGCTATTTTGGAAAGCCAAAGTTAAATCTGATACAATGTATTATATTATATATCACATTACAGTGGAACTCGGATTCAACGAATTAAGGTTCGGTGAAAACTTGAATTCAACATAAGGAGGTGCATTCCCCGATTTAAAAAAAAATCATTACAACAAAGATCGTTCATAACAAGATAGTTACCTTGGCCAAAAAAGTGTCCGTGGAGGTCCGCGCATTGGTTCAGATGGCGCTGCAGCCTTTGTTTTGAAGCTCTCTTTTCGTTTCAGAAGAAGAATAGGAATAGCACAGTTTGTTAGTTTTGCTTTTATTGTTTTTCACACAAGTAGGGTAACTCTGCAAAGTTCTCACTTTTTCGAAGAGGGCGCCACCGGTTTTGGGGACACTTTTTTAATTGGCTGAAAGAGAGGAGTGAACTATCTTGTTATGTACGATCTTTGATTAAAATCAATTTTAAAAAATAACTCGGATTCAACGAACACATAGATCTAAATGAGCAAGTTCGGATTCAACGAAGTAGCTTACAGAGTGAACAGTCCCTGCTGACGTGGATTCGCTCATTTCAGTTCCCAACGAACCTGATCTATTCCTCCTTGTAACCGCCCATGGCACCTGCATCGTGAACCATTAAGCGTTTAGCCTTTTGTTAGCGTTTAGCCTTTCGTTTATATCTTATGCGACCAATCAGCAACTTTCTCTCATACCAACACATGTGTCTTAGCGTGTGTAGGGATCGGACGGGCAGCCAGCACACGTGTGTAACTGTGAGTACGTGTGTCTTGGGGAGGGGGCACAAGTGGGTTTTTTCTGGGGGGGGGGGTCAATTTTATTTTGTAAGTGTTTTACGGCGCTTGCAACTCACTGCGCAAGGCCATACTAGCGCTCAAGACACAGTAAACTGTACATGTAACTATTTTCAGTTGGTAAAAAATTTTGAATTTTGCCTGGGTGGCGGCCGAAGCCTACTTATCGATTTTGGACAGCAAAGGGATTTTAATTAACTGGTACGACTTGCACACAGGACCTCCGACATTTTTCGCCCTTGTCCGAGAAGGATAGGTGTTATATCTTACCTACCATAAGATCAGGGGTGTGGCTGAAAGGCAGCAGTAAGGAGCCAAGGAGTAGCAGTAGAAAGGCTACAGAAACAGCCAGGAGCCCAGAGGACGGGGCACAGCTGGTGAGGGAGGTGGGGGCAGAAAGTGGAGACGAAAGCAGATGACAGAACTTTGTTAGAGAGCGGGAAATAATGTGAAAGGAGAGAATTTTAGAGCAGAAAATTTTCCGTAGCTCGTATTTGATCCCCCGGGCCTACTGAATGAGAGGCAGACACCTTAACCTCTAGACCACGAGAGCCCCCATACAAGTGTTCCAGGCGTGGAATTGGAACGCCAGTAGAGATACAAAAACGTGTCGCTCATTTTCCCACTGTATGCTAATCAATATACAGTGGAATCCTATTTTAACGAGAGGGAGGGGACCGGAGCAAAATGTCCGTTATAGCAGGATTTTCACTATAAGTAAAGTATAAGGGATCCAGTAATAAATTCAAAGGAAACTCTAAAGTAGGACTAATCTATGAGTTTTGTGTTCTGTTTATTTCCTTTTGCTATCTACCCTGATGATAATTTTGTTTCAACATGACCTCTAGGTCTTACTTGATCAAAAATCGAATCAGGTTTCCTTCTCTAGCGCTAGATCTAGCGATGTTGACAGCTCGGCGTTGCCGATCAGAAGCTTGCGCACGTCACTCATTCGCTCCATCCATCACATTGCTGTGACCTCTCCACCCCCGCATCGGAGAAGTGAGAGGCATGGTAGGCCTTGATAATCTAAACTAGGCTTACGCTGGCCTATCACGCGATGCGTTATGCCACACCTTCCCTACTCAGTCGCTCCGGCCTTCATTGTTGACACACATGGGCTCTCCCATTCTTTGTTTCGCTAGATCACCAACAAGTTTCTCAACTGGCGAAGTTTTACATTAAGTATAATTGGCCTATGCACTGTGCACAGCAGCAGCAATAGTCCGCTATAACCGACTCGCATGTTTGTCTGATTGCGCTATAGCAGTATTTTATTTACAAAGGTAAAGAAGATTTAAAAAACGGAGTTTTAGAATAGTGTCTATATAACAGACTTCTCGTTTTTTCCGGACTCGTTATAAGTGGACTTCACTGTATTATACTGTCCCCGCGGTTTTATGCCCCAAAAAAATTATGAAATTATGCAAACTGAGCCACCAAAAAAAAGTGAAATTATGCAATTCTGATAATTTTAACAAAAAATGATAACGGAAAATAATCAGAAATTATGCAAACAATGATCAAATTTTGCTAAATTATGCGGGGCGCATAAAACCACGGGGACATTATAATGATAAGCTAGTTTTGACATAGATCTGAGTCATGAATTGTGCGCTGGGCTGTGGAATCAAACCGTGCCATATGCTAGGCTTTACACTTTACATAGCAACACAACTTTGAACGAATCGGCTCTTTTGCACAATGTGTGCTTAGTTGAGTTCAATGTATTTTTCTGGAATTTTCCTGAATTTTGTCGGCATAGCATCAAAGAAATGAAAATGCCTCTCTCTCATTTGAATTTGAAACTAAACTACTTTTGATTGAGGAAGTTGAAAAGCGAAAAAGGTAGGCATTTCAGGGTAGCCTTCCGTTACTTCCCTTCATATTATATTACATGTACTTGCTCGAAGCCTGCTATAACGAAGACTCGGATTCAACGAAATAGAAGGCCAGGCCCGACGACTTCGTTGAATCCAAGTTCGACTGTATTATTACTCCATCATGATCACCCCTTTTTGTTAATACAAATACCATTACAATAATTGAAAATACAGCAGGAAAATATCAAAGATGACCACCCATTGTCAAAGAGAAAGGTGGTCGTCTTAGACAGATGGTCTATTTTGGGAATGTTAGATGAAAAGAAAAAAAAGAAAAAAACACTTGAGATTCCATCTGGAGGTGGTTGCAGGCTTAAGATTGCCATAAGGCCTAGCTCTATTAAAATGTTTCTTTCTTTTGGAGAGAAGAGTAGAGGAAGGTTTTTTTGTTTTGTTTTGTTTTTTGTTTTGTTTTTGTTTTGTTGTTGTTGTTGTGTGTGGGGGGTTGTTGTTTTTTTTTGGGGGGGTTGCGGTTTTCTTTTTTTTTTTCAGACCCAGTCAGAAACAAACTTGATACAGATGGAACGATCTGAATGTATCATCGAAGACAGATTTCATCTTTACACGAAAAGAAGAAAGGGGAAGAGTGAACCCGAAGAGTCACAGACGCGAGAGCCATCCCAAATGCAGCCCTGGATACTGACCACCGTCCAGTTATCTTATTTACAAAGCAGCGGAGTGAAAGAACGAGGAAAATGAAGAGGAAAGAAACAGACAGACAGATCAACTTAAGAAAACTCCAGAAGGAAGAAGTACGACAGGAAATGGAGACAGAAATCACACAGAAACTGAAAGAAGTAGACTGCTGAGAAATAACAGCAGAAGAAACATGGTCAGCGCTGAAGACCCCGCTGACAGAGACACTCCGTAAAGCCTGCGGTACAAAGAACACAGGAAGAGGGCAGGTAAATCAGACAGCTTGGTAGAATGACACAGTAAGGGCCCGTGTCCACTGCGACGGACACAAACCGACCCGATTCCGTCCGTCTCTCGGAAAGTCGGTAGTTGAAATGAAGCACCGTTTATTTCCTAAGAAATCAGTGAAAAGTCCGTTTGGCTATGTCAACAGACACGACACGACACGACATGCCCCGACAAAAGACTCGTGAGCCATAGGCCCCGCCGGAGCTTTAAAAAAAATCAGATGTTGAGTTCGAATTAAAATTCTAATGTCATATTCGTAATCAGCGCCTCAAAATTAACAAAGTCTATGCATATTAACAATTCTACCAATTTTCCTTTATAAGCCCATTTATTTCTTATTCCCACCTTGCGTTCATTGACCTCGACTATTTATAGCCCTGCCTTGGGACACAGTGTGCGGGATAATGCGGCCAGCAGGCCAACAGACTAGACGTGTCTTGTCCGAACTGGTGGACACGCGAGAGGGAAAAGACCCGACTGATTTTCATCCTCCCGGCAAAAGATCAGGCCGTGTCCGTCTCAGTGGACCCGTAGGGTAAAGGAGGCCATCAAAGAAAAGGAGTTGTACAAGGCGTGGGTAAAAATCAAAGCTAGATGAGGACTATGTGAAATACAGACTGTCAAGACGTCATAGCAAGAGGATAGTCAGAAGTTCCAAGGAAAAGTCATGGAAGGAATATGGCGAAATATTAAGTGAACTGTGCAAACACTCGCCACAACAGTTCTACAAAAGTGTCAAAGCAATGAGACTCATCTCGTAAACGAACCATACAATCCAACAACAGTAGCCAATGACAAAGATGGAAACCCACTCAGTGAAGAAGACAGCATCAGAAACAGATGGCAGGAGTATTTCGGGGAACTCCTTAACCCAAGCAGCCAAGGAAACACAAAGAGCCAATTTCAACCACGACAAACAAAAGAAGAACAACCAAACATCTTAAGATCAGAGGCATGGAACAATAGCCCAAGGAACAAGGCAGCAGGCATTGATGGCATTACAACTGGAGCCATCCTGACATGTGGAGAACAGCAATCCCCTGTCTGACCACAATATTCCAAAAAGCATGGAGGGAGAGGAAATTCCCAGAAGACTGGCAGCGAGCAGTTGTGATACCAGTCTGGAAGAAGAAATGCAGCAAGAAAGACAGCAACACCTACCGAGAAGGTGCACAGACGCTATCTTCGCTCTAAGACAAATGAGTGAAAGGACAATTGCATACAACAAAGAACTGAATCTTGTGTTAGTAGACCAGGAAAAAGCGTTTGATAGAGTAGATAGAAACAAACTGTGGCAAACATTTGAAGAGTACGGCATTAGGGGACAACTGTAGGACAACATCAGAGCCATCTATACCAACAGTATGAGCACAGTCTGCACTCAAGAGTCAAAACGGACTCACTGACTGGTTCGACGTGTCATCTGGAGTGAGACATGGGTGTATGTTATTACCGCTACTATTTATAATATACATGGACAAAATTACAAAAGAAGCAAACCCTAACCCGATAGACCTGAATGAGATGCTATTTGCGGACGTTCAAAGCCTGGCATATGAGAAAGAAGAGCAACTTCAAGAGCACACAGACAGGCTGAATACACAATGCGAAAAGCTCAACATGAAGATTAGTACAAGCAAAACGGAGACGATGAAAATTAGCAGAACACCTGGTAACTTTAACATCACCATCGACGGAAAACCGCAGAAACAAGTCAGAGAGTTCCAAGTATCTTGGTAGCATCTTTTCGGAAGATGGACGTCTCAACAGAGAAATTGAGATGTGAAAAGATTAACAGCGTCAGCTACCAGCTTGCCCCACTCCTCAAACATCGTAACATCCCCATTGAGACCAAAGCCAAGTCCATTAGCTTTATCTTCATCCCCACTTTGACCTACCTGTACAAGACATGGACCCTGACCAAAAGTCTGGAACGTAAGATAACCACCTGCAAGATGGGATGTCTAAGGACAGCCGTCAACAAAATCAGACGGGACATGGTCAGAAACAACAAGATCTAAGAAATGGTGGGAACAACACCTGTCCTCCACTACATCCGAAGGCAAACAATCAGGTGGTTTGGACATCTCACACGTATGGCACCTAACTACCTTGCCAGAAAAACCTACTACAGGAAAGTATCAGGGTACAAGGCAAGAGAAAGACCAAGAAAGACCTGGATCCAGGGTTTGAAGGACACCCAGAGAACATTCAATATCCCAGGCCTCAAACTTGCTCGAGACAAGAAGCTCTTTCTCCCCTCGACGCCCTAGTGGTAAAAAAGGATAGATTAAGTAAAGTAAATAAGTCTCTTTTTTTTTTTTTGCGGTTGTTGAATTTTTGCAGCCAGGGGCAGATAATTGATTTATAACAATTGATTTATAACAAACTTTTGTGATGATAAGAGATTTGCATAGTCGTCCCGAATACGGCTATTCCATTTTTCACTCACAAAACACAAACTTCTCCCACACCTCTCCTCATTTCTTTTTTCATGGCATAGACATAATGGGTGCTCTGGTGTGGTTTGCTTCTTCTTTCCTATCAAACATCTATCATCCTTTTCTCATCTCCTTCTTTTCTCTATCTGTTTGTTACTCTCTTGTGAAGCTTTGTATCTTCTGCACTTATATTATGCCCTTATTGTGTTGTGAGTGCTGTAAAACTCACACTAAAACTAAGAGAACATACTAAAACAAGTAAGCAAACACAGACATTTCGGTATAAAAACCATATCATTATATTTGATGATGAGCCGAAAACAACATGGCAAGCCCAACTGTGCTGTCAAATTAAAAACAAAGATAGCATCCATTTAAGGCAAAACAAATCCAACCCTTGTACAATAATGAATATGATAGCAAACGACAATGCCAAGCATCCCTGATGTGTTCAACCAATAATTGAAATTGCAACAGAAGAGCATGAATCTTGGGGCCCAAAAAAATTTTTTAATTAATAAACTTTGCCACACCTATAAATTGCAAACCTTTATAAAAACTAAGGCAAAAGAATAGGCACACCTGGAAGAACAGAATGGTAACCAGGCAGTAAAGAGTCATCAAGTTAATGTTCTGCCTGCAGGTCTGTGCTATCAAAATCTGGCTGACCAAACTGTCGTTGCAATATTCCACAAGCAAACCTGGGCCTTTGAGTGTCTTCCCCTGAGGATTCACGGACAGGAGTAGTCATTGAGGAGAAAAGAGCACATCTTCAAACATGTTTAAAATAGACCATACTACAAGCAACCTTTGACAAATACAGAACTCATCATGTGGGTAAGCTATGCCTAGCGACAGAAATACAGTAAGAAGCCTGTTGGTGCAAGGGGAGAAACCTTTCTCTCTCCATTTCTCCCTCACTTCTCCTGTCTTTCTCTCTCTCTTTCTACCTCACTCCCCCCGTCTCTCTCACGCAACAAAACTAAAACAGATACTCATCTTTACATAGCTTGTAACATTACACATATAGAATGGACATCTAGGTACAATTATTGATCTAAAATGTTCACACCTGTCAGATCTAGCTTTCTCTGAAACAGCAAAGAAAATTTGACTCTAGGGCCTAACCAGTTTGATGCTGACAGTATTACATTAGAATTAGATCATCATCAGTATCAAAGCCCCATATCTGACATGTATACAATTAACGTCACATCCAACAAAACTGTCAATCTGAACTTTAATCTTTCTTCGAATTCTCAATTATTTTTTTTCTTCACTATTTGAGCAAACTCTCTAAACTGAAAACATAGCTAAATCAAATTCAGCTACAATTTCTTACACAAAGATATAAAGAGGCATTAGTAGATTCATGGCGCATTAGATAAGGAAATACATACTAGAGTGGTGAGCAACTGATAGTTTAGACAAGAAAAAGACTTTGCTGGAGAGCCAAAACAATTCAAGTTGATACATGTAACATGACACAAAAGTTACACGAAAGCATTAACACTTTCAAATTTCGACCCATGCATTCACAATTATGCCAGCATTAGACTCATGCTTCGGTTTTCACTGGATGAAGATGGGGTCTCGGTTGGTGAGTTCAAAACTTGTAACAGTTTGTCAGCATGCTCTCTTTCCTCCTGAAAAGAAACCATCAAATCTTTTCAACAAAACAGGATGACAATCAGAATAATTCTATTACACTTTAGCACTGAATCAAATATTATCTGTTGCATGTAATGTTCATCCAATGTAAATAAGGTCACTGATCAAGACAAGCCTTCATGGAGATGCTAGTGTATTTTCGCGCTACTCTTATCAAAACTATTATAAACAGCATTTTCACTATGAATTTCATGAATAAGTTAGAATAAGCAAAACCATGCCCAATTTATCAACACCATTAATATTTCAAATATTAATCACATAAAATGGGGGGAAAAAGGACAAAAGCAATGTTTCCCCTTGAGAAAGAATTCATATTAGTTCATTAAAAGTAGACTTCACTGTAGTGTATAACTCCCCTCCCCCTTCCCCCTTAGGTAAAAAAAAACCCAACAAAAATGCCTCACAGTCATGATGAATATGAAGCTTAACTTCAATATTGTACAGTATGAGAAATGGTAATTCCCCAACTGTTGAAACCTCCCTGAAGCCATTTCATTTTTCAACTAAATTTGAGACTGGATTCTTTGATATGTAAAAATTCAATCTCTGTATCATTTCCATTTAACAATGACTGACCTCCATTTTGTCTGAATAGCCCTTTGAGCTAACCATTTAAACAAACTCTTCAAATAAATTGTTTCTCTGCTAGACAGCACAGTACACCTTTGAAATTTGGCACAATTGATTTCCTTGGAATTTATAGCCAGCGCTGATGATAATTCTCCTTGCCATATATATATGTTTAATACAATGTACTTTTTGAGAAATGGGGCATTTATAATCAATAAAATTTACTCATTTTCAGAATTTTTGGAGACCGCTATTAACATCAAAGATCACAGTGTTTCTTTTCTTTTGTGTGTGTGTGTCTTCTTTTTAAATAGCAAAACAAAAGTTTAGTATTATATATGAAGATGAAGACTCATTTTCGCCTCCTAAAACATAAACTGGAAAGGGATTCAGGAACAACAAAATGTTACAATAATGATGGATGGGTAGGTACTTTGAACTTAGTGATAATCAAAGATTAGTATCAGTAGAAGCTAATATAGATCTGGTTACCGGTACAGATTCACTAGTTTATTGAAACACAAAAAAGAAGACAACACGTTTCCATTTTCTTATTCTACAGTATATAGCTGAAAAGGACTTCAAAGCAAATTTCTTTTACTTGAACCAAGATTTTACAGCAACTGCCCTTTACAGTTCTGCTAATATAATCAAAATATCTCGGGTATTGCTTTAACTGACCTAAGCCTTTCCAGTTAGCAAACTTGAAGAATAACTCTCGGAGGAGACTACAATAATATGTGAGGCATTGTGGTGAAATCAGACGCTCATCAAAATAATGAAATCAAAGAAACAGGCATTTTTCCGCCAGTTTGTCAATTTTTATAGAATTTTTGTTTTCCGGCCCAAAAAACACATTTCCAAGTGAATTTTACTGAAAAATGTTGATTAAAGGCACAAGGTATGTACATTTTCAGTTTTCAAGGACTCTCAAGCTATTGAAGTTACCAAACTTTGGCGGCCATTTTCTCGCTCATTCTACATCTAAAACCAGGTAACCCCACCTCCTTCAATCACAAAAATCTCGACTTCTATTCAAGATAGATAGGTACTTTTTTGGGGGCCAAATATAAAATAAACGAACAGGTTTTTTGATGATATTTATAACTCCATACGCCCAAAAAGTAAAGAGCGCCTCATTCCACCACGTCGTGACACACATGCCCTTACTATCAAAAAGAAGGAAGTAAGGAATGACTGAAAGGTAGCAGGGAAGAAAGGCACGTCAGCCATCTTTACGTAGAAACATTACTAAAAAGTTATGAACATGTTTTTGCAAAGAAAGGGGCAGACAGCAGGAAGGAAATGAAAGCTTAATTTAAATAAACCAAAACCAACACACTCACCTGAAATTCCTCTTTATCAGAGAGAAGCCTTAATCGCTCACAGAGAAATGACCTGACATCCATGTCCTCTCTCAAACATCTCTCTTGTGCAGCCTTGTGGTTGGTGACAATAGCCAGCAGAGCTGACATCAGGTGCTCGTGAATCATGGAGTGACCCTCCGTCTTTAAAAGATATACCAGTTGCTCCACAGCTCCTTTTTCCAATAGGGCGTCTGAATTGCAGAAAAACAAAACAAAACAAAACAAAAAAAATTATCTCAACATCTCAATTAAATGTGGAGGCGCCAACCTTTGTGTAACTTTTTAGCTAAAAAAACACTCTTCAGAACTCAAAACAGGATGCAAAAAACAAAACAAAAACGTGTCATCTGAACTTCAAACACAAAGACTGTCTTACAATCAAAAGATATTGGCAGTCATTAATGTCATTCAAAACTCTTTAAAATATGACAGACACAGGCTTTCGAAAATTTGAACTTGAAAATTGATAACAATGTAGGATGTAAATCATTATAAGAAACTCCAGAATTGAGCCATTAGTTTCCTATTCCACCTTTGAAAAAAAGTGTACAGTGTAGATTCACAGCGGCAGGGATAAAAGCTAAAAGGAATCCCCAAAGTGTACTTGACTTATTGCCAACGCTCTGGGTTGTTATAAAAAGACACTTTTTCAGTGGAATTACAGGTCCAACAATGTATTCAGAGTTGAGACAACAAGTAATACAACAATTTGGCGTATTCTCAAGTAATTCAGCCTCTGGCAGTTTCAAATATTATGGGTTAAATATGACTAAGACACTTTATAAGAGAAATAAATTATTTGAGTGGGAAAGACTGTGTGTGTGTGTGTGTGTGTGTGTGTGTGTGTGTGTGTGTGTGTGTGTGTGTGTGTGTGTTTGTTTGAGTGTGTATGTATGTGTGCATGCATGAGTGTGTACAAGGGATGGGGGCTAGTTAGGGAACATATTTATAAATTCATTATATCAAGTTTCCCAAAGCAAGATGTAAAAAAAAACACCTGTAATCTGAACATCAAACACAAAGACTGTCTTACAATCAAAAGACATGGCCAGTCAATAATGTCATAAACCATTACATCATGTGGTTACACAAATAAAAATTACAGATGCAGCTACAATCTCGAACGCACTTAACAAAATCAGTGGGATGCAGAAATCTTTTTGTCATGTACGAATTTACTTATGTGCGTGTTTTGAATACACAGAATAAACATGTATCGTTAGGCACACATAACACGAACACGGAAAACTAAAAATCACGTTTAGCTAGTACAATTTGCCATTCCCAGACTGATATCCATTAAAGTTTTCATTATTGGTTAATCTGAATTATGTATGTGTCAAATACATTTGTCAATCCCAAACGTGTGAGTAACCCATGCTCGACTGTATTAGAAATAATTCAGGACCTAAAAACCTAAAAATGAGTTTACTATGCCAATGTTTCACAATGTGCATGTTCGCTATAATATAAGCGTGCCAGACCGTATTTTCCTCTCAAATTCTTTCGTGGTTTTATTGATAAGTTCGAAAAACCATTCAGATATAGAGACTGGGCAACGGAATATTATCTGATCAGTCTGCTATCTATGACTAAAGCCAAGATTCAGTCACATCTTTTTTAGCCTGACTCAACAAAAAGCTAGAAAAGTAGCAAAATAGAGAAACAGAAAAAGAAAAAGCACCATGCTGACCACCTATGATTTAAGCACAAAAATATAGTTCCATTCACATTCTAACAATTTCAGTCTTAATGTAAAGAATATGTTAAAAACATATTTTAGCGAAGAACAGTTCTACAAATCAAAGGTCGTCCTTGGTGCTGAAGAGCTTTTTCAGGAGTAAAACAACAACATACTTTTAAAAGAAGGATCGTGGCCACACATGGAAGATATCAAGAAAGTTGCTTTGAGTAAAACAACAGCATACCTTTAAAAGAAGGATCGTGGCCGCACATGGAAGATATCAAGAAAGTTGCTTTGATGCGAATCTTCTCTTCCTCACTGCTGAGTGCCCTCACAAGAACACTGAGGCCGTCGAGAGCTTTGAGCCTGCCTTGTGCCTCCGTGTTGCTCCTCACCAAACCTGAACCCAAAGACCAGGTACAGCATTATTTCAAACAGAGCACCATCGTAAAATTCACGGAAATAATATTAAATCGACCTTCAAATAATATTTTGAAGACCCTAGAGTTGAAAGCCTCGTCTTGTATCTGGCTGTCTTACTGCTCATGCCTTTCAGCCTCATGGCATGCAGAGAGTGGAACAACAGTCGAACCTGCTATTATGTCTAAGACAATCACTAGTACAAATGACCACTTCCCATTCTGCCGTAACACTTTGTAGTCACACAGCCAACACTACAAAATACCCCATCTGGTCACCCAGCCAGGAGAGTGACTGCAATAGACTTCTCTAGCCTGGCCAAGTGACCCCAAAGTGTTTTTTAAAAATTATAATACACTGACCAAGATTTCCAGCTGTCTAAGACACCATTTTCTACTTGACAACGGGTGGTTGTTTGGGACAATTTCTTCTGTAATTGGTTTACCTGGCATTGTGAGAAAAGACAGAGTTGCTACTTGAGACCAGGTGGGTTTGGGTATTCGAAAAACAGGTGTGACTGATCAGTTCAGAAAGGGGTGATCCCTTCATGGGTCAACATTTGTATTTTCAAAGCAAATGAACAATCAAACCTGAAATTGAAGACTAACGGAGATCAACAAATAATGTATTAAAAAATCCAGTTATAAAATCAAATAAGAGCAGAAAAGGGGTCACACCCGAGACTACAAAAAAAGTGAGAGAAGTCACTTGCAAAGATGGAAGAACAAAAAGTCAGAAAAATCACACATGAATACAAGTATAGATCAGCATTTAACCTATAAATCTACTTTCCTTTGCTCTTAAAACAATTACAAGATTATATATTCATGATCGTGCAAGAACTTAAAGTCATAGAATGCTTCGTTTGTTCAAGGCAAATTATGAACACAAAATCCAAGTCATTCTCAGGGAAAACTCAGCAAAGCGAGGGCTACCACTTAAGTGGAAAGACGATGGAAGAAGCCACAGTGTATATATAACACGGGTCATATTTTGTTTGTTGTTTTAGTAAGGTATTACAGTGCTCGCAACTGCATAAGGTCATATGAGCGCCAAGGGGTTGATGTCAACAGAGTAGGTACCAGAAACTAAATTTACTTTCAAAGTAGCTGTATGCCAAATCTATCTGTTCCATATGAAAGGCCTATATCTCCTGAGAATTTTGATACCATTCTTTAACCTCTCAGTCAGTTTTTAAGCAAATGATAGCTGTTTAAAATTTGATAAAATTTGTTAAAGTTACTCACTGGCTGCAACCTCATCTTTGACAAATTATAAAAGAGTACCAAATGCACCAACCATCTCCACATTAACAGAGTACAATCCCTATAACATAGATATGGAGACTTATTTTTTCAAGACTGTAAGACTGTAAGATCACTACAAATCAGTATTTTATCGCCTCAAACATGATGATCTGTCGTTATTTCGACAAAAACACCAAGGGTTGACCCGGCCGGCAACCCACCGACCCCCCCGTAGCGAACGAGTCGGCCCCGTACTGTAGTATTCTGAATGCTCCCCGTGTGGGGGGGTCACATGCTTTCCGAGTTTCGCGGAAGGAAAGATGTGAAAATAATTCCAAGCCGACTACTTTATTCTAATAGAAAATAAACTGATCTTTCTATTGGATCCTTTTTTGAGCCTGTATTTTACATATTTCGTGTAAAAAATGATCTTTGAAAACTTTGACAATGTTTTTCAAGGCTCTCTAGTTAAACGCCAAAGGCCAAAAATATACCACGCGAAAGCCTGTCCAAAGCTCTACAGTTCTCTGCCAATGAAAAGACAGTACTTAATCATCTATCTTTCCGCGAAGCATTTGAATGTACGCGTCTCAATTTTTTAACTGGCTGACCACCAGGGGCTTCGCTTTCCACGGCAATTCTCCAGCTCCTAATAATCCATGAGTCTCAATATTCCGCTATGTAGCGGATTTCCACTACCGCCATTTCCTCCGCTAAACTCTGCTACCGCGACAGCGGGTATATCAGAAAGAGAGTTGCTGGAAGCAGAGTGACTGCCAGGCCTCGGGAATTTGAAAAAAATCACCGAAACGCGGGAAAATACATAAAAGATCTCGAATATTATTTGAAAACCAAATCCGATAACGTCTTTAAGTTCATTTTTGTCGGTCGCGATTGTGATATTAATTCGGCTTTGCCCGGTCTGAGAGTACATTTCACGCGAACAGGTGGCTATGGCGGCAAGTGGAATTGTATGTGACACCGAGGCTCGACCGGAAAATCAAGATCTCAGAAATTTGTCTGTAAAAGTGTAAATACGCAACATTTGTAACATTCGCCATGAAAATAATGTTCGTCACTGTGCTGTCGCTTGTGGGGGGCAAAAAAAAAAAGAAAAGAAAGTTATACAAGCGTCTTGTCGGGCTCGTCATTGTGACCGGTCAATGAACCTGCTCGTGTTCTGAGCGCTGTGAAGTACAGGACTCAGGAATGGGGGGAGATTTTTTTTTTTTTTAAAGATACACTCGGGGATGGGGGGAGGGCTGGACGCAACACCAGAGGAAAGAAAAAGAAAATGGAAGCAAATTTTAATATTTAGAATTTTGATTACTACTACAGCTCTCTGCAAAGTAAAGTGCGCGTTAGTGCATGCCTTGTGTATAATCGGGATCCGCCATAACTACTTGTTGTAAGCGTGTTAATGAACTTAGGGCAGGGGCCTAAGTGTTCACGTTTCATTGGATGGGTGAGAGTAAATTATGTCTCTATAAAAAGTATATTTTAGCTTTTTGTTCAAGATTCGCATATTTTCAGCGTCACTGCATCTTGCCCTCCCACAGTTTTTACACATCTCACACTGAATAGGTTTACTTGAGCTATTCAAGTTATTACTCTACTTTGAGTTTGAGCATTAATTTTGTCTTTCACGTTTATTATATGAATCATTACACCAAGACTGGTTCATAACAGTCGATATTCTGGTTCTAGGCCTTTTCCCAGGCTCAAAACAAAATTCATTTTCATATAGTTTATATATGCAGGCGAATATTATGAAGATAAAATATAAATAACTCGCACAAGACCACAGTGGGCCTCCGCTTTCTGTACGTAATCAAGATTGTAAATATTTGGTAAGTGACTCTTACTTGAAATTATCTTCCAAACCCTCAAACTGGTATGAAATAACCTTGCTTTGATAAATTGATGGTTTTTATTTCAACATTCTAGGGTCCCACAGTATAATAATAGTGGGTGTCTCGTGAAAATGGGCTTCTGTTGCGATCACGTGGAAAGTTCCTCCTTTTTAAAAATTCTGAGTTGAGACCCATGATAATCGGACATAAACAACTTACACCATTGAAATGAGGAAAAGCTGAACTTTTACAAGGTGTTCAGCACTTGGTGTTTTATAGCGAAAGAGCAAGGAAACAGCTATCTGAATTACCCTGATACCATGCGCTCGGAAGGCCGCCAGTGCCCGCGAGGCCGTTTTACGCTACACAAAAAAGTCCAAACGGGGAATCAGGCTTACTCTGCTTACCTCTTTAGCCTCAACAGCCCAAAGTCTGCTTCGACTATCAAGGCACCCTGGAAGTGGCAGTTCACAAGAGAGTGACAAACACTCAAGAGAAGTAGAGGAAAATGACGTTAGTAAGGATGAGGAAAGAAAAAGCAGCAGTTTCCCATGTGTTGTTCCAGCACAGTAAGAGCAAGACATTGATAAATCAGCCCATTTACAATTCTACTGTGCATTAGAACATGTTAATCTCCCCCTTTGGGAATGGCCTAAAGACCCTTCAGTCAGTAGAACTGCCCTGGCGGGGGATGGTCATATTTTGCGTGGCTCTGGTTTGTTAGGATCAAGAGGTCATTTCTAAGTTCAAACTCAAATCCTAATTAAAAAGGGACATGTCAGTGACTTACAAGACAATGCATAGAGAGCCTTCACCCTAACCGTGGGGTTTGGATCAGTGTCAATCATCAGAAGGATGGCAGGCATGAGGTGTAGGCTGAGGACAGCAGTCTGCCCAGTGGGATTGTTTTGAGACAGATTAGCCAACAGTTCCAGACAATTCCACCTTAAGTCACTGACTTCACTTGCAAGAAGGCCCGGTACTATTCGCAATCCATTTATTTTTATAAAGTCTGTTGAGAACAAAAGGAAAAAATAAATCTTACATGAAAAGAAAAGATAATTATGTTGAGTCACAAGAGGTAGGAACAAACACACAACTAGCAGTAAAAGTCACAAGCAGCAGAAATGAAAATACTTCAAACGGTAACTTTCATTTGCTTTAGTGCAAGTTTACTGCCCTTCTAAACATCACATTGTAAAAAAGTTTCACATGCCAACAGAGATGTCACCATAAATTTGCACACACTGCGAGCAAAAGGCTTAAGGTACACAACTGGGGGGGGGGGGGGGGGGGGGTTAGCAAAAAAATTCAATTAAGGAATTTTTGCAAAAGTATAAACCTCAGCAAAAAACCCTAAAAGACAGCATATAAGTTTGATATAATGTTGCTGATGAATTGTCTATAAAAAGGCATCAGATTAGTTTGCTCCTCAGCAGTTGCATCAATAAATTAAATTGAACTTCACAAACTTTGTAAATGTTTCAAGCAGGAACAAAATGTAACATTAACAATTCTATAAATCCGCAAACTTCAACAGAATGAAAGAACAAAAAGAAAGAAAATATAAATCGTATTACCCAACTGGTGATTGGTGTCAACCTAATTCCACAATTACCCAAATCAATGTCTGGGGGTTTCCACCCAAAGTAAGTTATTCAAATAAAGACGCCAAGAAGCATCTTAAGATATAGTTTTGTTCTGTTTTGTTATTTCCTTGCTTTTCTCAAAACTCAAAACTTTAAAAAAAAAAAAAAAGACTTTGGCGCTTGTGACATAATAGACTGTACCTCCAGCAATGTCCACATCCTCAGCCCAGTCTTGCAGTTCATCGAGTGCCTTAATCTGTTGTTCAGTGCCTTCTTCAGTGTCAATTTCTGCATTCTCAATCACTGACACACATATGGACATTCTTTCCACAGGGCTGACTGACATCTGAATAAAGGCCTCTTCAAGCCATTTCTTCCGCTTTAGAAAAAAGAATGTAAGGTTGTTGTTTTTTTAATGCTGACAAGAAAAAGTCAATGTGTTAAGTCTATTGTTGTTTTTTCTCACATCCCTAGTTTTAGATGAAAATACAATCACCAGCTAAACGAATGATTAATTTTAACAAAATAAAAATAGTCTAGTCTAAAAAAAAGGAAGAAGTACAAAGGGAATCAAACTGAAGAAAGGAGAAAATGAAACTAAAGAATAAAACATGAGCTGACAGAATCCTATATCTCCCCCCATAACATAAAGGCTGAATAAACAGCATGAAATTCTACATGAAGTCACTAAACCTTTACATGACAGAACTGTTCAGACCTTCTAACAGACAGAAACATAGTCCAGACTTGATGATACATTCTTCAGGATGAGGATACGGTCACTAAAATTTACTACTGAGGTCAGAGACATGTTACATCAAAGCTGTGATTTAACACTTAAGACATCAGACACAAGCATCAAAAGGTATTATAGGATTAGAAATTCTTTTGAGCACAGAATTTTTACTTCCAATTAAATGCCATACTTGACATAAATTTATAATAAGAACTATCAGCAATAAAAATGCAGATTGTCTTATGAAGCACAACGATCTTAAGTAGCAATAAAAAAAGGGGATTTAATGACTTACATCCTCAGTCATAGGCTCAATAATCTCTGAACCTTGTGCATCTTCTCGACGTGTTGCTTCCATACAAAATCTGAGAAGGCCTTTCAGGTCTTTTGCAGGTCTGGGATTCGGAGCTTCGTTTCCGTCAGACATGGTGATGACTGTGAAGATCCGTAACACTCAACCAAAGAACACTATTTATAGAAGCTTGTATTGGCACTTGCACAGTCTGTTCTGATGTGTTAAGTTGAACTTTTGGCACTATGTGCTGTGAAAAAAAGGTTTACGAAAAATAATATTATTGGAAAAAAAAAATTGAATGCTTTTTGATTTCTTGAATTTATAGAAGATATCCATTAAAACGTTCCTATATGCCAAGAAATGTTCTGACAGTAACAAGAAGCCATAGAAGATACCTCTCAGCATTTTGAGAACGTACAATGTTTACTTTTTGTTAGGGCTTGAAGAAGCAGAGTGAACTTGAAATCTTAAAAAAGAAAATCACATCAGCCATCTATAATAGAAATAACAAGACACTTCCACCACAACTGATCCAAAAGACAGATTTCACACCTTTGCACTTTCAGAGAGGCATTACTTACTATATTCTTACTATCTCCTAGGTATTAGGGGAGAATGTCATTTGAAATACAACAGTGTCCACTGAACAGCAGCCCAGATATAAGAGTAACCTCTGCCTCACATCAACCTAAGCTTGTAACAGAATTTTCCTTAAATAACAGCCTTAAACACCAACCTGATTCTTTGACAGCACCCCGTGTTGTTATAAATTGACAAATTTTTGGGGGGGATGATTCAGAAACAATATACTGATGCCTAAAATTTCAACGTACATGTGCACCCATTCTCTCTAGAACTACAACACCTTCTCCAGCCAGAAAAATAAACTAAAAGTTCATAGAGTTCAGGGGCTCAGTTCACATTCTCTCGCCTAGAACTGTCTCCCTTCAAGAGTCTCCAGGCTAGGGGTGGGGAGAGAGGAGTCTTAGCTACCGTGCTCAACATTTAAGTCATTACCAGTCTATGATCGAGAATCTGTTCACTTGAACTCAGGTGGAACCACAGCCACTACTCTGCTTGTGTCTACAATTTACACTTTCTAACATCACTGTATCTTGATATTAAGACTTCTGCTGGGTATGTAGTACGTTTGTGGGTGTGTGTGTGAAAAGGGGGGAGGGAAATGTTGAGCAGATTGTAAATATTGCAGATTACCCCCTTTGGAAAATTTTGTTAGCAGCAACCTCAGCCTAAGAATACTAAGAGCAACCAAGGCTTGCTTCCCAGGGGGATTGCTATTAGGCGGACAACACTGTACTGTAAAGACAAATGTTCTGACTCACGGGACTCATTTCTCTCCAAAGCTTGCGACTGAATGCCCCCCCCCCCTTCCACAACACACACCTATGATGAACTGGGGACACTAGTACACCTATTTCCTGATCCCAAAAACAATTCTTTTTTTTTACTCTGTCTTGTCAATAAGGTGTACAATCACGGCTTAGAAGAAGTAGAAAGCTATCTGCTACACTTGGAATGTATTATATTGTGTCCTGAAATTCACACAATTATGGGACCAAACTGGTATTTTTCGTATGAAATTGAAATCAAGCCGATCACCAGCAGTTTTCAGTTTTTTCAGTTTCTAGTGTATCTTAATCTGAATATTTTTGAACATTTTAAGTTCAAGAAATGAGATAGCGAGACTTCAGTGAGTAGGACTATGAAGTTATTTTTTTTAATGGCAATGTATCGTCCTACAAACAAATTATATAATAGGCCTATTTTATAACTATCAAAATGATCATACGAGGTCTAATATTATGACACTGTGGCACTGTTGTACAGTTTTCAACATATAAATTTAAATTAATTATTATCTTATAAGTACCAATTATCCAAATTCTATCATCTTCTCAAAGTCAAAGTAACATTTTAGTAGAAGTAGACTGGTATCAGTGGCCTGCTCTCATTAGCCTTATGATCTAGAAGTACAACTTCGTAAGCAAGTGTGTTGCTTACATGACAATCATTTTATCATTTAACAATAATGGGATAATCCAGTTTGGCCTCAACGATAACTGTGGAGAGTGAGTTTTGGCTCCACCGATGATTACTTCTTGTTCTAAATAATTACTTGACAGGTGCCGAATATGATGTTTGATGTGCAGCAAGTGAGAGGTATCAAACCTAAATGCAAAAAAACAGCAAATTTTGGAAAAATTCAGGCCCTATGAAATTCCCCATACTTTCATTAGGTCAAAGGGGCAAGTCCCCCAGAAACTGAAACCCACCTCTTGCTAAAACACTGTGATTATTCTCACCTGGGGTGAGGATAAAATGGATATTATTCTCAGTAACGACAGCCTAGTATTCTCACAAGGTTTTTTTCGTTTCCGCCCTTTTTATTTTGATTCGGGCATTCTCCGTCTTTTTATTAGGCCTACCCTAATTATTATTCTCACACGCGTTTTTCCACCAAGCGTCTCCAGATATCTGGTGGTTGGACTGAGAACCCTTCGATCATACCTTCACCAAAAACCCTAGACAAGTGTATATTTTTCAATTCAGAAAGGAATTCACTTGCCAGAGTCGTATGTTTTTAAAAACAAGAGCCTAAATTGAAAGCTGTTTAATGAAATAATGTTTGTAATAGATCTAGATCTAGTTTAAGCATGTCAGAATTGGATTTGTTTACAACACAATAAACATTTTATCCCTAACAGAATCCACAAAGGCATGCAGTGCCTTGACCCGTTGGCGATTTTAGTCGCCTCGCGCACTCAGAGGAGTGAGAAAGGAAGCCAAGTGAGAGAGGGAGGCGAGCTTTGTCACCTGGATCACTCAGTGACAGCAGGGGCCGGGTCCTATGACATTAAAATATGGGCATCCTGGTGGCTGTTACACGTAAAGTTCATTGATCAACAAACTGTAGGATATCGAAAAGATGGCCAGCATCCTGTCAACTTCCCGGTAAAACTGAGAGTGGAAACGAGCAATCCTCTCCATATCGCAGGGTTCTCAGTCCGACCACCAGATATCTGGCGATGCCAGGCGGATAAACCTTAATAATCAGGGTAGGCCTAATAAAAAGACGGAGGATGTCCGAAACAAAATAAAAAAGGTGGAAAAAACAGGTGAGATTACCAGGCTGTCATTATTCTCACCCGGGGTGAGAATAGAAGGCTATCCATTCTAATAATATCCTTATCCTCACTCCAGGTGAGAATAATCAGTGTTTTCTACTTTCTACAGTGGAACTCGGATTCAACGAGCTCGGATTCAACGAAAACTCTGATTCAACGAGATGAGATAGATAACCGTTTTTTTTTTCTTCTTTAAAATAAATGAAAATAACCCGGATACAACTAGCACTTAAATCAGCGAGCTCGGATTCAACGAGGTCACTTCCAGGATGAACAGCCCCTGCAGGCGTTGCTTCGCTCATTTTTCTCCCAGAACGAACTTTATCTATTCCAGGGAAACCATCCATTGCAACAGCATCGTAAACCATTATTCACTTAGCCGATTGCATGCGACCAATCAGCGGCCTTTTTTTTCATACCAACACATGCGTTGTTGGCACGCGCACATGCCTACTCTGGCGTGTGTCGGAGTCGGATGGGCGGCCTGCACACGTGTAACTGTGTGTGTGTCGGGGAGGGGGAGGGCACTAGCGGTCCGGGCCTTGAACGTCGCAGATACAAACACCTCAGTCTTTTTTCCCCTCAGTAATTCAGTATTACAATGACAAGCTAGTCTTGACGTAGATCTTCGTACTGAATTATGCGCTACACGGCGCACCGGCAGTGGAATTTTAGTTGCCGCCGGGGGTTCCCCGCCGGGCACCTTATCACGTCGGGGTCACGGGGGTCTGGGCCGACTTAATTTTTGGTACTTTTCAACGTACAATTTAAGGTGTTTCCTTGTATTTATGGTAATTCTCATTTAGTGCTCCCAAAGCATGCATTTCTGCTCTTGAGACTCAAAAAAGAACGGACGTTGTAACTTGTCTGGTTATTTCGTTAGACGCGCTGGATTCGGCAATGCTAAATTGTAATTTTTTTTGGACTAGCGTGAATGAAAAAAAATCAATATAAAAAACGGCCTTGTCAAAATCTGTCGAACTTTTGGAACATGAACGACATAGCATTGGTGCAGATACTCAGAAAAGATGGTATCTAAGCTGTAATTTTGCAACTTTATCCATCGGGCACACAATTCGCTATGAAGTAATTCCTCCAAATACAACTTTATGTGTCTAATATAATCGTGAATATTCGCATATTTTCTCGAAAGTTTATAAAAGTCACCATAAAGTTTCTCTATGAAAAGTACAAATCAATTTTAGTGCTAGAATACATCTTCAATGTAGATCTAATACACGAACATCATCTGTTACACTCCAGAAATTCCTTACTTTTCTTAAAACGCTAAGTCTAGGTTTTGTAAGTTGACTGAATAATAGGGATGACTTCTTGTAATTGGGTTATAAGAATAATTTTTCTAGCTTTCCAGGGACACTGAATCAGCACCAGACTTTTCCAGCTTTATTTTTCGTTTCCATGACCATTTGCAATAACTCACAATGTGACTGATTTCTTTACATTCATAATTGTGTCCGCGCATATTTCCGACACAAAAACTAAGAATGAATGTGTTAGCTGTCATTATTTTTATTCCATACAAGAAGTTTATCTCTACCCATGTATTTACACGGTTTTGTGCGTTTTTTAATTGCTTAGATTCTTTATTACATCTTTTTAGTTGTATGCAGGCTGCCACAGACACAGCATGATTTATGAACAAACGCAGAGTAACTTTCTCTTGTTTAATAGTAAAATCAGAGCTTACGCTGATCATCTTTAGTTAAAAAATGCAGATGTGCATCTTTCTTCTCTTACAACTTGACAGTTTCTACTCGTGCAGATTCAAGATTTCTCATGGTAAAAGACATGATATTCGTAGTCAGTTTAACACTGATTTTGGAGAGATCTGTCGTGCCTTTTAAAAATTAACAATCATTTATTCATAAGTTTGTAACTAAAATGGGACAAATTGGGTACTCTACAAACACTTGTCTAGAACAAAAACTAAGGCACAGAAATTAACCATTCTAACGCAGAATAAATCTCAAGACATTGAGCTTTTAGTACATCCGCGTAATGGTTTGCCATGTGAGATGGGGAAGAAGTTATAAATATCGTTTTAAACATAGTCAAAAATGCTAACTTCCTAACCGACACTGGCAAAGTCGCTTCAGGGCTCATTAACCCCGAGACCCCGAGCCGGGGAGCTCCGGCGGGCTGCTGAGTCACGCGAACTAAAAGTAACAGAATCGGGCAAAAAGTGACGCCGTGGCTAGTCTATGGAGTCAAAAGTTGCTGTATGCTAGGCTCTACACAGCAAGACAACTTTGTGGTAAATAATCGAAATGACACACCAGTGCATTTGAAAGAATCTGTCTTTTTTTTAAACACAGCTCATAATATGCAGGCATTTCAGGCACTACTTATGACTTCTCTTTATACATTACTTGCTCAAGGCTGTACACAAAACCTCGTGTTTGCTATAGTGTGTGTGTGAAAGAGAGGGAACATGTGAGAACAGAGAGAGAGAGAGAGATGGAAAGGGTTGGCGAAAGGAAGGCGCCTCTAACTCTAAGCCTTGATGTCACACGGATCAATAGCTGTTCGACTGTTTACCGGCGCGGCGCCGGAGAATAGCTTCTGATCTAGTCTTCTAGATTAGATCTATTGATTGGCGCGACGCCAGAGAATAGCTAAAAAAAAAACTCGGCGAGATCTTTTGTCAACAGTTACTGGCGAGTTGTCGCGAGAGAAACCCAAGAGTGTAAGAGGAAACCCCGGAAGACAACAAAAATAGACGGCGGAAATACATCATCTATATTTGGGCGAATCACAGAGGTGAGTGCTGGCGTGCTCGCTGTAGTGTAGCTTCATGTCTTTCTTTAGACTTTCTATTAGACTAGATCTAGAATCTCGTTTTATAATTATGCAAGTGGCTATTCTCCGGCGTCGCGTCACCGGTCTATTACTAATAATTTGTCCGCGCAGATTTGCAAATACCTGCTCTCTCATCTGTTTGTCTTGGAAAAAAATTCCACCAACTTCACCATTTCGTGCCACTTCCATTGAACAAGGTTGGGTTGATTTAAATCAGGTTGATTTAAATCAGTTGATTTTTTTTATTTAAATCAACTTGATTTTTAAAATAAAAATCAGTGATTTAAATCACTTTTTTTTAAATTTATTTTTATTCAGTTTTTACACATTTCAACATTCAGAATTCCTTTCCTTGGTCTCATAAAACAGATATAAGGTTTAGTAGACTAATATAATCATGCTTAAAATTCTGCTTTCCCCCCTTTCACTGTAAAATAATACAGTATTCAATTTACTTTTTTTCCATAATTGACATCAGAGCTGGGTTGATTTAAATCAGTTGATTTTTTAATATTTTAATCAGCTTGATTTTTTTTTAAAAATCAGTGATTTAAATCACTTTTTTTTAAATGTATTCAGTTTTTACATATTTAAACATTCAGAATTCCTTTCCTTGGTTTTATTAAACAGATATATATATAAGGTTTAGTAGACTAATATATCATGCTTAAAAGTCTGCTTTCCCCACTGTCACTGTAAAATAATACAGTTCTCAATTTACTTTTTTTTCATAATTGAAAACCAGGTTTGGGTTGATTTAAATCAGTTGATTTTTTTAAAACTTAAATCAACTTGATTTTAAAAATAAAACTCAGTGATTTAAATCACTTTTTAAAAATGTATTCTGTTTTTACATCTTCAAACATTCGGAATTCCTTTCCTTGGTTTTATAAAAACAGTGTCACTGTAAAATAATACAGTTCTCAATTTACTTTTTTTTCATAATTGAAAACCAGGGTTGGGTTGATTTAAATCAACTTGATTTTAAAAACTCAGTGATTTAAATCACTTTAAAAAAAGGTATACATTTTTACATCTTTAAATTCAGAATTCCTTTCCTTGGTTTTATAAAACAGATATAAGGTTTAGTAGACTAAAATTGCTTAAAAGTCTGCTTTCCCCCCTGTCACTGTAAGTAGTAAAATAATACAGTATTTAATTTACTTTTTTTTCATAATTGAAATTAGCATAATTTTCTTTTTCTTTTTAGACAAACACAAGCGCGCGCTAATACACACACACACTGTAATAAAATGTAAGTTTATCTCTATGCATAATTATTTCCCCCCCCCCCCCCCCCCCCCCTTCCTTTTAAACTGACATTTTCTTCATTTTTTGTCTGTAGCCATAATTCACTGATATAGCAGATTAAGGCTTTCTAAAATTGCAGTTGCTTAAATTAATCATTAGTTAAAATAAAGACAATGCATTTTGCACTAAAAGAACATACTTTTAGCAACCAAAAATCCCAAACTGTGTCGAAATTTTTTTTTAATAAAAAAAATCCGATTTAAATTTTTAAAAATCTGATTTAATTTTTAAAATCGATATTTTTAATTTTTATTTTTAAAATCCCAAAAAATCACCAACCCTGCCATTGAACAATCATTGATACAGACGATAGGTTTTCAGACACAACTGCCCCAATTCCTCCTATTTAGAATTATGTTAGGTTCTCGGTCTAGAAGAAACGTATTCACAACTATTGACATGAGTTCATTTATTATAATAACAAAAAGTGAGCATAAAAAAAGGAGTCACGTTTTCACTAATACAAAAATGGAGATACAACAAGAAAGCACTGAAGTCGCGAAATACCAGTTAAATTGATTGAAAATTACAATAACAAGAAAAAGTTAAACAGCAAGCTATACTAGAGATATATTATATGACTAGACAGGATTTTAGGCACAAAATCAATTTTGTTCGTTTAAATAAACAGTTAGAAGCATTTAAAATTTAAGAAAGCAAATGGACGATGGAAATAAATGTAAGTTATGTTAGACAATTACCATAGATAAAATAATGAAAGGTAGACTTACTAGGCCAAGTTATGACGCCGGAGAATAGCTTCCAATCTATTTACCAGCGCGACGCAGGAGAATAGCCACTTGCTTTTACAATATTCAGTAGTCTCCGCCTAAGATCCCGGTGCTCGGGAGCAAAGAAATGCGGGATCTTAGGCGAACCGGGATCTTAACCGACGATCCCAGGGAAGAATCTATGGGGACCCATGTTAAGGCTTAAAATCGGTAAAATGGTCTCCCTCCACCCTAAAATGAACTGACCTGACCCCTTGGTGGGTTTATGACATATATGGCGAGCAAAGAGTGGTTAACCTTGATGGCCTATCACAGTGCATAGTGCCATGAGGGGAGCCATTTTCACTTATTGTCCTATCATGAGTCTCAAGATCAACGCTTATTCAGTTGCCCCTCCCCTTTACCTGTCGAAAATTAAATAGCTTTCCATCTCTGACCGAGTCCCCATCCCTCCCCAAACGTCTTTGTCGTTACACACCATTGCATTGTGAACACACCAATTAAAATTCAGTCTGTCTAGCAAATTCGGGCTTAATGACAACTGCTGCAATTAACGCCTACTGCAATGGTCAGGGAAGAGTTCACGGTTCGATGTGATCCCGCCTGGAACGAACATGTAGGCCCTATCCACCCAGCGAGTGATGTAAGTTTAGGGGGAGAGTTCAGGTGTGAGTGCGATGCGTGGGGAAAACAAACGCGTCGGTCAGTTCACACCCCGGTGTGATCCCGTCGGGGGCAAACATTGTATCGCTTCATCCAGTTTTACAATGTCGTGTATGTGATCACATTCAAGATAGTGGCTGATCTTTGACGCGACGGACAGTTTATTGATCTCAACTTTTCAATCTTGTTTGATCGGCTGTGCCCGCCCGGGTTTTTGTTCCGCAAATTATGATCTGAAATGCGGGATCTTAGCCGAATGTAGACCTTCAGACAGAGTGAATCAGAGCGGGATCTTAGAGGTGACTTTTGTGTAGTAAAAATTCTGTTTTCTTAAAACAGCGGGATCTTTTAAGCGAACCGGGATCGTAAGCAGTGGGATCTTAGGCGGAGACTACTGTAACTACACTACACTAGTACACACTACACACTCGTTCGTACACGCAGAATTATATTTCATAAAATACTTTTTATAGATCTAATCTATGTCGTTGAGTTCAGTGCCAACCAGCTCTAGTCTATCTAAATCTAGATCTAGGTCTCTACTATCTTTACTCTAGATCTCTAGATTCTAGGGGAAGATTGAAGAATACCGGACCACTCGTACATTATTGCGCGAGAAAGTGGGGTAGGTGGGGCGGGTGGTTGAAGTGGAGGAGGGGGGAGGGGGGGTTCAGAGGGGTCTCCCCCCTGACAAAATTTTAATGAATAGATCTACCGGTCCGAGATTCTCCATTGAGAGATTATATTAAAAGGAAGTGGCTATTCTCACCCGGGGTGAGAATAGAAATACGATCGACCTTTCACCCCGGGTGAGACTTGCCACTGTAGGCTACTCTCACCCAGTGTGAAACAAGACCTGTTTTTCCTAATTTCGGAATACTTTCTATCGATGTGGATGATCAAATGGATAAAGGCAAAGAAAAGATTACGTTTTAGCACAAAAGTAAGCAAATTTTATCGACTACAAAGATGCTATGGCTATTTCACTTTTCGAATCGAGCCGAACTACGGGGGTCGCCATTTTGTTTTGCCCGGAAGTTCTCGCAAGATCTACTCCTCCCCTCTTCTCTCTTTCTGAATACTGTCTATCGGTGTGAACGATCAAATTGACCAAAACAAAGTTAAAAAATTATGTTAAAACACAACAAGTAAATTAATTTGGTCGTCTACAAAGATGCTACGGCTATTTAACTTTTTGAATCGAGCCGAACTACGCGGGTCGCCATTTTGTTTTGCCCGGAAGTTCTTGCGTTACTCCTCTCTCTCTCTCTCTCTCCACTGCCCACAGACAAAATTGTACGCTTTTAGTAGTAATGGAACGTTTGTTCACGGCACAGAATTCTACAATTTTTCTGTTATCACAGTGCAGAATTTTGTGGTTTAGTTTAGGGTGAAAGCAAAATTGGTTGGCCTAGATCTAGGCTATAACGGTGAACACGCACCGGGTGAGAATAGCCAAAAGACTCGCCTTCACTATTCTCACCCGGGGTGAGAATAGAGATGGCCATATTAAAAAGGCCACCTCTATTCTCACCCGGGGTGAGAATAGTGCAGGCGAGTCTTTTGGCTATTCTCACCCGGTGCGCGTTCACCGTTATAGCCTAGATCTAGGCCAACAAATTTTGCGTTCAAACTAAAACCACAGAATTCTACACTGTGATAACAGAAAAATTGTAGAATTCTGTGCCGTGAACAAACGTTCCATTACAACTGTAGCCTACTAAAAGCCTACAATTTTGTCTGTGGGCAGTGGAGAGAGAGAGAGAGAAAGAGAGAGAGGAGTAGCGCGAGAACTTCCGGGCAAAACAAAATGGCGACCCGCGTAGTTCGGCTCGATTCGAAAAGTTAAATAGCCGTAGCATCTTTGGCACAACCAAGTCCAAATTAATTTACTTTTACTTTTGTGTTTTAACATCATTTTTTAACTTTGTTTTGGTCAATTTGATCGTCCGCACCGATAGACAGTATTCAGAAAGAGACAGAGAGAGAGAAAAGAGGGGAGGAGTAGATCTTGCGAGAACTTCCGGGTGGGTGAGATTGAGAATAGCCACTTTCTCCTGGACTATTTAATAAATTAAAAACGGGAAAATTATGAATTCCTAAGGTTGAGACATAGGCAAAGTCAGTCCACTGGTCCGGTATTCTTCAATCTTACCGATTCTTGATCTACTAGATCTAGATTTAGATCTAGAATATAGATTCTAGACAAGGCCTAACCTAAAAAAGCAGTCGACGAAGTCCAAGAATTGTTGTATTGCCGCCCAAGTCCAAGATCTCACAAGTGAAGTCAAATTCAAAGAGGCTTTGAACAGATGCAGACGTATAAGTTGAACTTCGAACAACTGTAGTATCCGACTGGTACAAATCTCAACAGATCTCGATCTAGAACTAGAATCTAGATCTATTTTAGGTCGGGTTTTTTTCTAGCAGTTTCTAGATCTTGGATTCCAAGTCCATCACGATCACATTTTCGGTCCGGTCTGTTTACTATCGCTCTCTTGTGCCAAAAGGGAAGTATCACACTGGACTTTAAAATAATTTCCAAACAAAAAAGATGTTTTACCGGAAAGAATTGCAAATAATGCCGAGTTGGCAATAGAATTAGATCTACATTTCTAACTATAATTTATCATGTAATTCTTAGCTTCACGAATAAATTTTATGCTCTCGTTGATGGAAAATTGGGCATTTGGTATTGTTTATAGCTATTGTGCCGATTTATCAACCTTTCTTATTCATAAATTGTTATCTTGGTATATCATAATTTTTCAAATTTCTGGTTAACACTAAAGGCCACAGGAATCTGACAGGTTCTTTACGTCCATATTGGGATCTTTATGGTGTTGCTGCTGAGGGATTGACTGACTGGTCGATACATGTGATAGATTTCCATCTGTTGTACTATTCCGTGAGGCTCCCTATTACTATTGTGAGTTAGACAGAACGATCGGTAAATTTTTACTTCTACATCTTCACACAGATGCACTGATTTGAGGGTTTAACTGCCTTAATTTTAGCTGCAGAACACACCCGTATGGCAACTAAATCTAGAATCTAGATCTAGAATCTAGATTTAGATCTAGAATCTAGATCTAGATCTAGATTCTAGATCTAGCAATAATGTTCTGTGTCTGTGCTGAGATTCGAATCTTATCAGCAACTGATTACGTTGGACATTCCGGGCAGGCTGCCGGGGTCACTCAGTGTTTACTGTTGCGAAGTGTATACAGACCCAGTCACGAAGTATACAGGGCCAGTAGGGGAACTCCTTTGCGATTTCGGAAAGTTTCAGCGCCCAGACCCGGTAGTGTGTGTGTGAATGAGTGAGAGAGAGAGAGAGAGAAGAGAGCAGAAGGAGAAGTGTTAGCAAAATGTATGACACAGTTGGCAGGAGGGAACGAGAGAAAGATAGAGTGGGAAATAGGAGAGGAGAAAGAAAGACAGAGAGACAAACAAAGAAAAAGAGAATGCAAGCGATACACAGAGACAGAGGGAGAGAGAGAGAGGGTGACTGCTCGATTTAAATTTATGACATTGTTCTTTTCTTCAAATTGTGATTCCTCCAACTCTAAAACGGGGGAAAAACGATCGTTCATCGAAAAGACATCCGCAATCTTCATTTAGTAATTTAGATTTAGATATCTAGAGTAATCGTACCGGTTCGGGCAGCAGGTTTTTTTTTTGCTGTCGGGCACTACAGTACAAAAGGATCGTTTAAAACTTTGTTTTCAAATCTAGCCCCAAAAGAGTGGCACTCAAACTTAAAGCAACCTCCCTTACTTTCGTTGAAACAACAGTTACGGCGATATTTTGCTAAAAATAGTCCTTATGACAGCTTTTTCTTCATCAACTGAGCAAAACAGCGTGAAGCTCTTTCCCCGGAAGAGTTAACATTGGTTGTGGATGAAGGAGCCTGTGACCTAGATTCTACGTTTTGGTAGACTCTGAAGGCTGGAGAGTTATTTGCATATGAGGCCCTGTCAAAGATGAAAGAGAATTTGCCGTTTAGTCTCGCCGTTTTTGCCCAAAGGGGGGGTGCCCGGATTGTAACATAAAATCCGTAGTTTCTCATCCTTCGGGCACATATAAGATAATATAAAGCCAATGGTTATATAACAAAGAATAAAGAATTTGTGCATAAAATTTAAATAATAGTAGTCAGATACAGCATATTAACTCAGTCAGACACCAGTGTAATAGAGTCAGACATACCAGTGTGTAATACAGTCGGATATCAAGTGTAGCCGAGTCAGATCCAGTGTAGTTGAGTGAGCCAGACGCCAGTGTAGTAGAGTCAGATACTACATAGTAGAGTGGGTCAGATACATACTCATTAAAATAGCTATAAATGGTGAATACCACTTTAGACAAACTATCATTGTGTCCAAGTGTTGATTGATAACAAACATTAAAAATCATGTTATTAAGCTTGCAAAGAAACAAATGTGATAATAATTGAAAATGACCGAATGTCAAAATACTGCCCGAATCCATGAGAAGACCAAAAAAATGCGACCGAACTCGTAAATAAATCGGGCGTCACTTTTGCACCCAGTAAGGGCCTCAAACATGAGAACAAGCTGTAACAGGTCATTCCTGGGGTCATCCAATCACATGACTTCCTGTAGCTGGTTTCGGTTTGTCTCTAGGGCAAGGCAGATAGGAGATATAAGGAAGAGGCTAGCCGTACTTAATGACGGCTAGACTGGCAGTCTAGCCGTACTTAAGTACGGCTAGACTCACAGTCTAGCCGTACTTAAGTACGGCTAGACTTACAGTCTAGCCGTACTTATTCTTAATATGATGGCTAGACTGACCATTTACAAAAAATAGGCCTACTGAATTGTAAATATACATTTTTAGTGTGCAGTACCTAAAGTATTTGTATTTGAGACAAAACCAGGTTCCTTAATGACAGTGCATGTATTTTAAACCTCCTGTTTTCTAATGTAAATAGGGCCTAAGATAAGTACGGCTAGACTGGCAGTCTAGCCGTACTTAATATTGATGGCTGAATTGTAAATGAAAATTTTAGTTTGCAATGCCTAAAGTATTTGTATTTCAGACAAAACCAAAAGGTGCCTTACTGACTTGCATGTATTTGAAACTGAATAATAACTAGATCTAGATCTCATGAGACCTGTGTACTTAACAGGATTGAGTCGATTGGGCCAAACCTAGATCTAAGTACGGCTAGACTGGCAGTTAAGTACGGCTAGACTCTCAGTCTAGCCATACTTAAGTACGGCTAGCCACTTCGGAGATATAAAGTTTTAAAGTCGTCGTGCCAGTTTTCGTCCTTATTTTGACCGAACCAGTAATATTACTCTAGATCTCTAGATATTCTAGATCTAGACCTAGGCCATAGATCTAGAAGAACCTAGTTTTACCCTGAGCCAAGAGGGCGCTGAAACTTTCCGAAATCACAAAAGAGTTCCCCTACCGGGTCTGTATACTTTGTGACTTTGTTCCCGGGTCTGTATACACTCCCTTACCCTTACTGTTGCCACTGTTGGTGTACAGCGAGCGCGCCTGGAAACGTGTGTTTTCGCCCATGAATACCGAGGGAGTGTGTTAATCAGTTAATCGATGATGAAAGTGACGCTCTATCCTTTATAGCCTTCTATTTTTAGTGTTATGGGCGCTCTCTTACTCTCTTTGCAGGGTTGGTGATTTTTTAAATTTTTTAAATTAAAATTTTAAAAATCGATTTTTAAAATTTAAATCAGATTTTTAAAATTTTTTTTAAAATGTCGACACAGTTGGGGATTTTTGGTGGCTAAAAGTAGGTTCTTTTAGTGCAAAATGCATTGTCTTTATTTTAACTAATGATTAATTTAAGCAACTGCAAAAGAAAGCCTTAATCTGCTATCAGTGAATTATGGCTACAGACAAAAAATGAAGAAAATGTCAGTCTAAAAGGAAGGGGGAAGGGGGTAATTATGCATAGATAAACTTGCATTTTATTACAGTATGTGTGTGTGTGTGCGCTTGTGTCTAGTTTGTCTAAAAAGAAAAAGAAAATGCTAATTTCAATTATGAAAAAAAAGTAAATTGAATACTGTATTATTTTACTACTTACAGTGACAGGGGGGGGAAAGCAGACTTTTAAGCAATTTTAGTCTACTATTTACCTTATATATCTGTTTTATAAAACCAAGGAAAGGAATTCTGAATGTTTAAAGATGTAAAAACAATACATTTTTTAAAAGTGATTTAAATCACTGAGTTTTAAAATTTTTTTTAAATCAACTGATTTAAATCGACCCGATTTAAATCAACCCAACCCTGGTTTTCAATTATGAAAAAAAAAGTAAATTGGATACTGTATTATTTTACAGTGACAGCGGGGAAAGCAGACTTTTAAGCATGATTATATTTGTCTACTAAACCTTATATCTGTTTAATAAAACCAAGGAACGGAATTCTGAATGTTTAAATATGTAAAAACAGAATACATTTTTTAAAAAGTGATTTAAATCACTGAGTTTTATTTAAAAGATCAAGTTGATTAAAATTTAAAAAATCAACTGATTTAAATCAACCCAGCTCTGATTTCAATTATATATGGAAAAACAAAGTAAATTGAATACTGTATTATTCTACTGTGACAAGGGGGAAAGCAGACTTTTAAGCATAATTATATACAATCTAGTCTACTAAACCTTCTATCTGTTTTATGAAACAAAGGAAAGGAATTCTGAATGTTGAAATATGTAAAAACTGAATAAAAATAAATTTTTAAAAAAGTGATTTAAATCATTGATTTTTATTTTAAAAATCAAGTTGATTTAAATTTTAAAAATCAACTGATTTAAATCAACCCAACCCTGTCTCTTTGGAAATTGCCTTCCCGTTCCTATTGAACATTTGCCATGTAGGCTCTATCTCTAAACGTGAAGATTTTGTGGGGAGGGTTTCAGGGAGTGTATACAGACCCGGTAACCGGGAACAAAGTCACGAAGTATATAACATAGCAAGGCCCACGCAGCGCCGATGAGTGTGACAGAAATTGGGGACTCCCGTATAGGCGCTGCGGGCTTGTTTTACCGGACCCATTTTCTCACAGTGCCATATTTTCATTCACTCGTACGGGCTTGTTTCTCAATGGATGAAAGCGAAACTTGGCAGCCAATGAGAAAAGAGGTCAAACTAATCACTTGCGAAAAAGAAAACTCGTAGGTTACTTGGTTATGGTGCTGTTCGTGTCCGAAGTTTGAGCACTCTGCTACACCAGATTTGGTGGAATTTTGGATTTCTTTTTCACAACGTTGGTTGACAACCTTTTCCCTTTATTGTCTTCAAATTTTATTAATGTATGTTGCATACTTTTTGCGTACCATTGTAAAACACCACCCAAACTCGACTGCATTCGGGCATTCCGCTGAGTAGGTCGGGCTAGCCGGCGTCGAGTGGAAAAGTCCATGACGTCATAAAGAAACAGGTCGTGGAAAGTCTACTGCGCGAGAGAGACGGGGAAACCATGTTCACCAGTTCGGCTTTCCAAAAGCTAAAAAGCACTTTCTTTAAGCCTGCATGAAATTTATTTGCTTTGGATATGATAAAAAGACTTTCTGCATACAAAAAAATCGGGGAGGAGAGATCACATTCTTGCGTTATCGATCAATGTCGACGGTTCTCTTGATCCTGTTATTCCCCCGACCTAGATCTACATGGACTC